CGCAGTACGTATGTTCCTCGCTTGGACTCTCAGGGCGGTGGGCCCGCCGCACCTCCGACCTTCGAGCCGAGATGTGGCGCGCGAAGGTAGAAGGAGGAAGCCTCCACGGCTCTCTGCGGACGTCGAGGCCGAGCAAGACGTGCACGACATGGTTTGGTTTGAGGACCAGATCCGTTTCGCCCGCTGCTTGCGTGTGGCAATGGACGCCAAGACCCTGAGGCAAGCTCGGTGACAGCAAGCTGTGGGCCACCGTCTCTGGCAAGTCGGCCGACTTGATGTTTGTGAAGTGTGCGGAGCTCACTCGAAGCAAAATACGCAAGGTCTCGCCCAACACTTTCGCGGTCAGCGCTTGCGGGGCTCGACGGCGCAGAGCCGTCTCGCCAGGCTCTGGCAGGGCCTGCGCCATCGGACGGGCCTACGACTGCCCCCGTTCTCGGGCCCTTGGTCACCCGTCTCATTTGGTGAACTCGCCCTGGGTGCCAAGCTCAGTAACCTTGAAGTCCTGCCCGATTGGTACGTATTGCAAGTCGAGTCGCGCACGTTGCGCGTAGAGGCACAGGAGTTTTGAGTCGCGGGGGCACGCTTGTTGGTGCACACGGAGACCTCTCGCCGCCTGCGGTGGGATGTGGGCTGCCGGCCTGCCCTGCGGAGCCCACCCTCAATCTGCTGTTTGCTAAAGATACCCTCCTCCTCCTCCTCCAAATATTCCTCCTCCTCATCATTCCCCCTCCTCTCCCTCCTCCTCCTCCTCCTCCTCCTCCTCCTCCTCCTCCTCCTCCTCATGCACATCCCCTGGCGAGCATCCTCCATAAGCCAGATCCTTCGCCACCGAAGGACTTCCCAGTGAAAAACATGGGAGTTTGGTCAATGGTCCTGCTCATCCCTCTCCTCCTGCTCCTCCGCCTCCTCCTCCTCCTCCTCGTCCTCATTCTCCTCCTCCTCCTCCTCATCCTCCTGCTCCTCCTCCTCCTCGCGTCTCCCTCCTCCTCCTCCTCCTCTTCATCGTCCTGCGAATCCTCCTGCGCTTCCTCCTACTTCTCCTCCTCCTCCTCCTCCTCCTCCTCCACCTCGTCCTCATTCCTCATGATCCTCCTCCTCATTCCTCCTCTCCTCCTCCTCCTCCTCCACATCCTCCTCCTCCACCTCCTCCTCCTCCTCCTCCTCCTCCTCCTCCTCTCCTCCTCCTCATCTCATCATCATCATCATCATCATCATCATCATCATCATCATCATCATCATCATCACCACACCACCACCACCACCATCATCATCATCATCATCATCATCATCATCATCATCATCATCATCATCATCATCATCATCATCATCATCTTCATCATCATCATCATGATCATGATCATCATCATCATCATCATCGTCATCATCATCAGCATCGTCATCATCATCATCATCAGCAGCATCATCATCATCATCAGCAGCAGCATCATCAGCAGCATCACCAGCAGCAGCATCAGCATCATCATCAGCATCATCAGCATCAGCACCATCATCAACGACATCATCATCAGCAGCATCATCGGCATCAGCGTCAGCAGCATCATCAGCAGCATCATCAGTATCATCAACATCAGTATCATCACCAGCATCATCATCATCAGCATCATCGTCGTCTTCGTCATCATCATCACCATCACAATCAGCATAATCATCATCACCATCAGCATCAATATCCTCATCATCATCCTCATCGTCATCATCCTCATCATCAGCATCACCATCATCACCATAATCATCGTCATAATCGTCGTTATCACCCTCATAATTATCACCATCAGCATAATCAGCATCATCAGCATCATCATCAACATCAGCATCATCATCATCAGCATCATCATCATCACCATCATCATCATTAGCATCATCATCAGCATATTCGTCGTCATCATCATCAACCTCATGACCATCAGCATCATCATTATCATCATCGCCATCAACATCATCAGCAGCAGCAGAAGCAGCATTATCATCGTCAGCAGCATCATCAGCATCACCATCAGCAGCATCATCATGAGCGTCGTCATCATCATCACCAGCATCATCACCATCAGCATCATCGACATCACCATCATCAGCAGCATCATCGCCGCAATCTCCATCATCAGCAGAAGTATATCAGCATCATCATCAGCAACAGTAGCACCATCATCATTACCAGCATCATCATCATCAGCACCAGCATCATCATCGTCATCGTCGTCATCATCGTCATCAGCATCATCATCAGCATCATCAGTATCAGCATCATCACCATCTTCGTCCTCATCCTTATCCTCATCCTCTTCCTAATCCTCATCAGCATCATCAGATTCAGTATTATCATCATCAGCAGCTTCATCACCAGCATCAGCATCATCACCATCATCATCATCCGCATCATCATCACCATCGTCATCATCCTAATAATAATCATCATCATCGTCATCATCATCAGCAGCAGCATCATCATCAACATCATCAGCATCATCTTCCTGCAAATCCTCCTGCGCCTCGTGCATCCACGTTCCAAGGATGTTTAGCTTTTTGACCGCCGTTTGGAGCCGCTCTTGGGCAGAGGAGGAGGAGGAAGAGGAGGAGGAGGAGGAGGTAGGCCCATGGACCCGGATTCCTCTTGAGAACTCACCCTCGTCCTACTGCTGCTGCTGATGGTTCGTCCTGCCCCCCTTCCTCCTCCTCCTCCTCCTCCTCCTCCTCCTCCTCCTTCATTCCCTCTCCTTATAGATAACTTCTCCCTGTCACACCCCGAGGCCAGTTTTTAGGGCGGGCAGGGCGCTTCGCCTGAGACTTCCTCACCATGTATGACTCTGAAGCTTACCAAATGACAACAGATTCACAAATGGAGGGCGGGTCGTTTTCAAAATGTGGCTCTCGCCCTCGCGCCGCGCACATTCGCTTTTAAAAAATGCAAGTGTTTCACGGATTGAGGGCGTCTGTGGCTCTCGCCCTAGCGCCGCGTACATTCGTTTTGAAAATTTGCAAGAGCTTCATGGATTGAGGGCGGGCCGCTTTCAAAATGTGGCTCTCGCCTTAGCGCCGCGCACATTCGTTCTCAGATTTTGCAAAAGTTTCACGGATTGATGGCGGTTCTTTTTCAAAATGCGGCTCTCGCCTTAGCGCCGCGCACATTCGTATTAAAAATGTGCCGGAGCTTCACGGGTTGAGGGCGGGTCGTTTTCATACTGTGGCTCTCGCCTAAACGCGCCGCGCACACTCGTTTTAAAAAATTGCTAGAGCAAGAGCTTCACGGACTGAGGGCGCTTCCTTTTCAAAATGCGGTTTTCGCCTTAGCGCCGCGCATCTCGTTGTGGAAATTTGCAAGAGTTTCACGCATTCCCATGATCAACGTACCTGGAAGGATTCAGGATTATGCGGGCGCAACAAATATGTTGATTCGCGGTGTCGATGTCCCACAAATGGCGCTCTGGCACGATTCCAGATCGTCAAGACGCAGCAGTCAGGTTGATACGTGGTGTTGAAATCCCGAGAACAATGTTTTGGCATGTATCAAGATCTTCAAACGGTTGTCTTCCAACGAGGCAGTTCCCTCAATGGAAATGAGCTGTTGTGGGGGCCTATGAAGAGGGAGCTTGGAGGGAGGGTTGATTCCAACATCGGTGATGAGTTTTGGTTTTACACTGGTCCTCCTCCTCCTCCTCCTCCTCCTTCGCATCCTCCTCCTCATCCTCCTCCTACTTTCTCCCTGCTCCTCCTTTCTTACTACTTCCAAATAACTCTTCCCTGTCCCACCCCGAAGCCAATCGGAAGGGCGAGCCGTGCGTTTCGCCTGAGATTCACTTACCATTTATGATCATGCAGCTTAAATGGAGGGCGAGAGGTTGTCAACAGGTGGCTCTCGCCTTAGAGCCGCGCACAATCGTTTCAAAAATTTGCAAGGGCTTCACGGATTGAGGGCGGGCCGCTTTCAAAATGTGGCTCTCGCATTCGCGCCGCGCACATTCCTTTTAAACAGTTGGAAGAGCTTCAAATATTGAGGGCAGTTCTCTTTCAAAAATATGGCTCGCGCCTTAGCGCCGCGCGAATTCGCTTGTTGTATAACAGATACGACAGCTTCACGGGTTCTCAAGGATAACGAATTAGAAGTGGCGCTTTGGAACAACTCAAGGTTGTCAGGGCGCACCAGTCACGTTGATTCGCTGCGTTGGATTACAAGGACTAAGGTTCTGGCACGGTTTGGCATCGTCAAGACAACACAGTCAGGTCAATTCGTCGCGTTGAAATCTCGAGAGCAATGATTTTGCACTCTTCAGTATTTTCAAACCGTTGTCCCCCAACGGGGCACATCCCAGTGGAAATGAATACTTGTCGGGGTCTGTGAAGAGGGAGTTTGGAGGGAGTACTCATTCCAACTACGCTGATGTGTCTTAGGTTTACTCTGGTCCTCCTCCTCCTCTTGATCCTCCTCCTCCTCCTCTATCCCTATCCTCCTCCTCCTCCTCCTCCTCCTCCTCCTCCTCCTCCTCCTCCTCCTCCTCCTCCTCCTCCTTCTCCAACCCCGCCCTCCCTTCCTCCCGCCCTCCTTCCTCTCGAGGAACAAACAAGGGCACAAGCATAAACATTCGGAGGTCCGCGCTAACTTCTAGGACCAGCGCTGGACACCCCTCCGAGGCGCGCGGAGCGCGCCGGGGGCGGCGCCTCTGGCGCCGCCAGGAGGCTCCAACGCCAATCCGAGAAACTAGCGCGGCTTAGCCGCCCCGATACGCCACACACAACCCGTAACCCGCAGCGTGTTGACACGGAGCCCAACCCGTGGATTGAGGACGCAGGGCTGGCGCCATACGCTCGCCAGAACGTGGGCAGACACGTGCCGAGTCGACACGCGGCGGCCTTGCAAACCGACGCGCGTTGAACTTCAGCACGTGCCCATCCAGACAGCCAGGCCGCGCGGACCTCTGGGAGTCTTTGCCGACGCCACGACTTGTCCCCCGACCCTCCCTGGCCACCCCAAAGGAAGCGAGGCCCGCCTCTCCCGCCAGGCGCCACCCCGACCGCCGACGGGGCGTGCGTCCGCCCCGCCGCCCGGGCACATCTTCTCGAAAGCCACGATGGGGGCGAACAGCCCCCCGGGGGGGGGGAGCAACACGTGCACTCCGGATCTCAAAACAATGGGGGGGGTCTGCTTCTGGGGGGGGTCTCACGGGCTTCGTCAAACACATTTGTGGGGGGGTCTCGATTTTGGACCTTTTGTTGCCTGTCTTGGGGGGGGGGGTCCCAGACCGGCCGTCAAACTCTTCTTGACCCCCCCCCCATCATATGAGATTTGGAGTACCCAAGGGGCGCCGATGGTGAGTGTCTTCGGCGAGGCCCCTGGAGGGATACGTGCAGTGCCCGACGTGTGGGGCTGTTCGCCCCGATCGTCGCCTCCGAGCCTCGCGCGCGCACCGCGGCGGGAGCGTCGGCGCGCGCCGCGCGGCGCCGCGCACGCGGGCCGCCAGGGGGAGGGGGCTTCGGCGGTGCCGCTGCGGCGGAGGTACGGACTTGTTTTTGTTCGGGACGTTGACGCCTGGGGACCTGGACGCGGTCAGCGTATCGCGACGAAACGTCGCGCTACTTTGGGAGGAGCGACGCAGCCCGGCGGTGCCGAGCTGGAAGCCAACACCCTGCAGTAGCCCCGGACTCGTGCAGGCGGAGAGATGGAGAACGGGGGCAGAAAAGGAGGAGCGGTGGAGTTACGGAGTTCCCGATAATGCGACCATGCAGGTTCCATGAGATCCTGGAAGCAGCAGAAAAAAAAGGCTTGCCTCACGAGCCACGCTCACGCATCTCAGTTTTAGGGGGCACGGACTGGGATGTACAGAGAGGCGGAAGGGGGGGTGCGGACAGGCGAGGGTGGCGCGCGGAGGATGGAGGAGCGGAGCGGGGGAGGGGGGAGTGAAGGGTGGTGGAGAAGTGGAGGAGGGGGGAGGGATGGGGGGATGTGGGCGGGCGGAGGGGGGGACAGAAGCATGGAGGGGAAAAGGGACGCAGGGGAGGCAGGCGGGAGGGAAGGAGGAAGGACAAGAGAGGCCATGATGCTTCCAGCATTTGGCCAAATGTTGGCAGCGAGAGGCCGCCGACCTGAGATGCTCCCAGCTCATACTGATCATGTTCCTCCTCCTCCTCCTCCTCCTCCTCCTCCTCCTCCTCCTCCTCTTCCATCTCCTCCTCCCTCCTCCTCTTCAAAATATTTAAGAGCCTTTGTTTCGCAAGAAGGCGACTGGCACGTGAGCCAAACGCTACTGGACGCAAGCCGCCTAACGGCCGCAAGGCTTCGTGACCCACACAACCATGCACCTGCTCACCCAATTGGAACGCTATGATCTAGCACCCCCCTCGGCTGATAAGCCGAATGTGGAGACGGGTATACACAAACAGCAGAAGCAACGAGGTAACGCGTGAGTACCAAACAAGAGGGCAGTGCAGAAAAGACAAAATTCCATCGTAGCACGTCAAAATTGAAGAATTAAATATTTGAAATCAAAATTCGTGCTTGCGGAAGGCAACTATGATCTGGTTGTAAATTTACACGGGGTCCCCCAACACGCGACACACGATTTTTGAGTGTCGCAAACCACCGTGACATATGATACCAATAAACCAAATCATAGTGTTGTCTGGGACTATAGGGCTATGGGGCTATAGGGCTATAGGGAAATAGGGCTCTAGGGCTATGGTGCTATAGGACTATAGGGCTATAGGACTATAGGGCTCTAAGGCTATGGGGTTATAGGGCTATCGGGCTATAGGGCAATAAGACTATAGGAATATAGGGACACAGGGTTATAGGGCTATAGGGCTATGCTATAGGGTTACAAGGCTAAAAAGCTATGGGACCATTAGGGCTACAGGGCTATTGGGCTATAGGGCTATGAGGGATTTGGGGCTATAGGGCTATGAGGCTATAGGGTTCTAGGGCTATGGAGCTATCATTAGGGCTATAGGGCTCTTGGGCTATAGGGCTATAAGGGATTTAGGGCTATAGGACTGTCAGGCTATAGGGCTCTAGGGCTAAGGAGCTACAAGGCTATACGGCTATAGGGCTATAGGGCTTTCGGGCTACCAAGCACCCGGGCACCCGGGCACCTGGGCACCCGGGCACCCGGGCACCCGGACAACAGGGCACCCGGACACCCCTGGGCACCCCGGGGCACCCCCGGGCACCCGGGGCACCCCCGGGCACCCAGGCCTGGCCACCGAAATCGGCGACGTAGGCCACCTACACATATGAGTCCGCTGTGACCCCTACAGAGGCAAGCTCTGATTGGGGACAATGTGCTTGACGTCTTCTGTACTACGGGTCTGAAGTCGCACGGACGAGCACCTGGACTTCAACTGATCATGAGCTCAGGTCCAAGGCAGATTGGTTCGCGACGAGAGCCCGAATGTGGATTGAGCTAACACACCGTAGCGGTCGCCAGTTCATGTCTCCCATTGGCAGGGTGTTGATTAGTACATCGCAGATTCATGGACATGAATGTTTTGCTCACTTATCTAGTTTGAGCATATGCAAAGTTCTCAAAAGTCATACCGTGGTCTCTACGACGTCTCCCCGCCTCACTTTCTCTAGTAACCAAAGCTGGCAGACTTCGATGTGTCTATATTTCCCACATCCGCGCCTGCTCGCAATGACAATGGCTGCACGTGCACCCTTCTTCAAAGAGGTGCCACAATCAACTTCAAAAGTATCTTAGAACCGCTCGCGGCCCCAACGCTACTGAAACAACTTGAACCATTCCTCAGCACTCCACTTCTCCAGAAGATAACGCCACCACACTCCGAACAGAACTCCACGACTTAATAAGGTGCGATCCCCACACTGCACCTCCGCCCGTTGATTCCCGCGTTTCTTGCAACGTGCATAATCGGCGTCTGTCCAAGCAATTAACTCCCTAGGGCGTTCTCGATACACATACTCGTACCCACACTTGTCGTGGTTCTTGAGGCACTTGCCCAACGCTGCAAACCATTGTCCAGCCCCCCCCCCAGGATGGGGCTGACAAAAAAACGCGCAAGCTCCTTGACTGAGACCTGCGTATCCGAACGCTCCTGTGCTAGATAATTTGCGGAGGCCACTAAAGTTCGGCATTTCTTAACTGCATGACTTGGGCAGGGCTCTTCGCCCACTTCCTCGCAAGGTTGCTTTTCGCCTGGCATCTCACAGCGCACCGCGTACTCCTCCAAGCCTCACCCTTTGGCAAGTATCTTGGCATGCTTTTTTTGGCCCACCTCATACCACAACCCCTCTCGGGCAGCCAGGAGGCCGAAAACGGCCAAAACCTCCCGTCGTGACTTTTTCGCAGCGAGAGGACTTAGGGAACAGGAGGAGGAGGCGGAAGGGGAGGAGGCGGAGGAGGAGGAGGAGGAGGCGGAGGAGGAGGGAGAGGAGGAGGAGGAGGAGGAGGAGGTCGGCGACGACTCGTCTCCAAGAGGCGGTCAGAAAGCCCCAGGGCGCAGTGGCAGACCAACCACGGGAGGCGAGCGCTGGGGCGAGAGCGTGCGGGCGGGGAGGCCCGTCTGTCTGGTGTTAGGCCGGGCATGTCCCCCTACAGGGTAATTTTGGACGAACAATCACAAAACGGTCAAAGAATACAGACAGTTTTTAACACATATGATTTTTTGTTAATAGAATTTCTAATACATGATCAATGTATGAATAAATCCATGCATGCACTCATCGTTGTTTCTAATACCAAGTCCCCGCATGAATAATTCATGATCCGCACGCGGAGCATGTATTGAAAACGGCACTGTACCCCAACATCGTCAAACAATCATTTTTAAAAATCGTCCCCCGACTCTTCTTCGACTATTTTTGAACATTCCTCCTGTAGAGGGACACGCCCGACTTAAGCCTGGTGCGCACACACCGCCTCGATGGCAGGACTGGGTTTAGGGCATATCGTTTAACCGATCCCCATCCCCACCAGCGTGGGCTGGGCCCCACTGGCCGATTGACCCCCCTAGATGGGGATTTAGGCCGTCCCCTTCGAGTTTCGAGGGGTGTATCCCCAACTGGGGGGGGGGTAATTTAGTGGGGGTCTCGAAAGTGATGTGGATGGGGATGGGGTCGGTTGAACGATACTGACTGTGGGCGTAAAGAGAGTGGCGAACGTCCGCTTTCCGACGCCCGCCGCGCGCAATTTCCTGGCGCAGTCTGTGCCCCGCCCGCTTCCCGCGGGCCGACGGGGCTCGCTCACAAGCGGCGCACCAGAACCACGCAGCCGCCGCCAGGGCCTTCGCGGAGCGGGAGGAAGGAGGAGGAGGAGGAGGAGGAGGAGGAGGAGGAGGAGGAGGAGGAGGAGGAGGAGGGGGAGGGCGAGGAGGAGGAGGAGGAGGAGGGCGAGTTCTGGAGCGCGTTTCTTTATTTTCGGCGATAGTGGGCATCATAGGGGGGGGGAGGGGGCCGGGGGGGGGGGTACAATGTAAAGCCTCCCCTCCGCCGTGTGCCCGATGCGCACGGCGGCAGTGCCCGGAGCGAATTGGGGGGGGAGGGGCGTTACGTGTAAGGGGAGGGGGGGGGGGGGAAGGGGCTATAAAGCCCATGATGCCCCAAGCAATTAAAGAAACATGATCCTGTGGGCCTGATGGCTCCGTCCGCAGGCTCGCCGAAGGGGGCCCTTCCTTCCCCCTTTCAGGCGTAGACGACGACCATCGACCGCAACCTGAGCACGGGCCTGGCCCTAGGAGGAGCGATCGGATATAAGGTCCCGGCCTCCCCACCACAAGAATTGTTTTGATTCGCGGGTCGAGAGCGACCCTCTTCCGGTCGAAGCTAAGCGGGCCGCGCGAAGCTTGAATTAACCATTGAGGGGGAGGAAAGGGGGAGGGCGCAGCCTCTGAACGAGGCCGGAGGAGGCAAAGCCTCGGGATCAGGCGGTGCCGAACGGCCTCCCCACCACAAGACGCTGGCAGGCGATGGGCTGCTGGGCGACGGGCGACGCCGCCGCCCCATGCCAGAGCAGCGGCTGCGCCAGTCCACCAGAAGGTGCACGAGCCGCCGGTCCTCCTGGGGGCGGCCCTGCGCCTGGCGTGGCGCCGGCCCCTCCCTGCTTGACGACGGCGTCCGCCTCTCCGGCATGTAGGGCCGCACATCCAGAGGGCGCCGATGTTTCGTGCTCGCGAGTGCTTTAAATAGAATCATCGCGCGCTCCTCGCGCGCTCAAGTTCTCCGGAATCCCAGCTCGCAGTGAGATGTTGAGGCTTGGGCGACCGTATACGATATGACTTTAATCCGAAGACGCCACGGGAGCAGGTAATACGCAGCCCTTCCCTGAGCACGGAGGTGACAGGTATCCAGGAGTACGACGAAGAGGACGAGGGGACGGTCTAGAGATCGAGAAGGGGAAAAGAGTCCAGGAGCACGACGGCAAAGGTGACAAGGGCAGAACAGGAGGGAGGGGCAGGAGCAAAAGGCGAAGCGGAGCCTTCGAAAACGAAGGGCAGAGCAGAAGGAAGACACAAAGAGGAGGGGCCACCGTGCCC